GAAATTTATTAGAAACAAAGCGGTTCTATATATCAATAGATGTAACTTTTCGAGCTCTACAAAACTATGTAGTTTGTTTTTCGAAATGAATAAGTTTTGAAATCCGGCGGGGTCCTTTCGTGACTAAAGAGTTCTCTCGAGATTATGTGTTTTCGTGAATGATTTCTAGTACAAAAATAGTAGTAAAATGTTCAAAATCTTTATTAAGTCTTGTTTAAATCTTGTTAAGGCCCTAAAGCTTTATGTCGGCAGATTTCTTTCGGAATGCTTTGGTTTCCTCAAGAAAAAAAGTAGCATATCTGTGTATTATCCTCTATGGATCTGTCAAAGATTTGGTATAGAAGCACAAAAGATTTCGTATCGGATTATACAGTCTACGTGATCGCTCTATGTTTCTTCGTACATAATCCTATTGTCTCCTACATGGTGGTCATGAAGATATATGATCATAATACTGAATTATATCAAAGGTCAAAATGCGATCGTGTCAGGCACAGAATGATTATTTATAAGCGTATGTCAATAGCATATTATCGATCATGAACATATACTACAATCACCATTTCATCGATCTGATATTAAATAAAGTAAATTAAATATATACGTATACAGTCTATTTCTCTATACTAACAACTAATGAAAATAACTCATGTTTATTGATGTTGTTGGATTCTGAAAAAACGGAACAGTATTCCTAGAAGATTATCATATCTCGTAGTAGCTCTCTCCTTCCTTCCTCTTTATTAGTCATGACTGAACTAGTACTAACAAAGATAATATATAATCATGATTCTTTATTCATATCAAGAGGTATAAAGTGATTTCTTAATTTCTTTGATTTCTGATGACTTCTCTGATCTCTGGTGTTTTTCACTCATTTATAATGCTTTCTAGCATAGAAATCAGTTTGTCTTCCCTCTAGATAACCTGAATGATGCGTTCATTACACTCCTTTTCTCATTCACACATGCATCTATCCTCAGAATATGGGTGGGTATACACGTGGTTATATGTACGAATGTGAGCGTGATTTAATGCATAGTGAAGAACTCATACTTACAGTCTCACTCATCAACACTCATAAATCAATATCCACCTTCACACCCTACCCATACCTCACTCACACCTAAAGTAAGTATCAATATTTTGAGCTAGAATAAATATGGATGCTTTGAAGACAGCATTATTTTCCTACCAAAAGATTCATTGTGAAAATTCTGCATTATGAAAGTGATGGATAAAGGGAGGCTGAAGATGGTCCAAAAATGGCTCTTAGCGCTCCCCTGTCTTTCAGAAAAATGAGCTCAATATAGTAAATATAACCGAATGTTTGAGATAATATGCAGTTTGTAGTAAATTCCAAAGTCATATCTGGAACAATTTGTCATTATTCGTTCAGTTTGGTATAATGAATATTTTCTAACGTACTGTCATGATATAGTTTTATTGCAAGTTTATAAAACTGTATTTGATGTTCGAAAGTATTGTGCAGTGGTATCAAGGTGAAGTATAATTGCGCTGTAATGATTTTTAAATCAGCTGAACTGGCAACATTTGAATATTCTCTCGAAACAAAATTCTCAAATGTTCGAACGAGTTGCGAGAGATATGTTTCCACTATCGTTGTTGAAAGTAAATCGACTTTGTTCAATAAAATGAAATCATATCCACTTAGTGATTGATATACTTTTGCTAAATCATAATTCAAATCACCTTGTAAAGTTAATTCTGACCCTAAAGATCCTCGCATATCTAAAAAGACTACCCGACTATCTTGTGTTAATAAAGCATTACTGAAGACTGGATCACCATGAATAATTGGATTATGTTGACCACGTTTAGACCTTTCATATTCAGTGAAATACTTAATGAAATAATCGACAAATTCTTTTGACGGGATCATTGATGATTCGAAATTATCTTTAAAATATTCGTCCAGATTTATATATATGTCAATATATTGATTGTAGCGCGATAAAATTTTGCTGGAATAATTTGCATAAATATTTGATTTTAGTTGCGTAAGTTCCATCGGCAATGACGAGTGAATACGTTTTAATGATGATAGAAATTTTAATAATCGACCTTCGGTCAAACACAAATTTGTGAACAAATGTGAATAAGTAATACCATTGATCTTTTCTATAATTATGGATGTAATACCAGCATCTTTGTTTGTTTCAATACCTTCTAGCTGTGGAAATAAGTTCACAATCAATGGCGGAATATTTTGATAAAAGTAAATTTCACCTTGAAGACAGTCGATTGCAGAACTTTTGATAATTGAATTATCTAACTGTTGAACTATGTTAAAATGCCGAGAGCAAATAAAGCCTTTTCTTTGCTTTTGATTTCGAGACGCGCATAGAGTATTATCAAGTGACCAACCAATCTCTTTTGTCGTATCAATCAAAGCATGAATAGCCGAATCGTCAACATAAACATCAGCATATGGTTTTCCGAACAGCAGCTCATCATATGGTATGTCGAATTCAGCCAATGTTTCGAGTGTTACTTGTCCAATATCAGCAATGACTGCACCAGCATTGCCTTCACGAGTCTTCATTCGACGAGCTGTTTGAATTATGATATAGTGGCCAGCTCTATGTAATTCTCGAACCAATTGAATATTTTGCATTTTTGGTTCAACTGACGAGGGAACCGTTTCAAGTGATTCACGCCGATTTTGCTTATATTTTGCCCATATGTAGGGGTCAGTATGCTAAGAAAAAGCCTAAGAGGATTTAGGCCCATGTTGTTTCTTTCGAGGGTTATGGCCATTTTACTGATTTTTCGGCCTATGACAAGGTATTTACAAAAAATTCAAATGACGAAATTATGTCTTGAAATTTTGCCCATATGTAGGTCTCATGGTTCTTAATGTATGCTACAAGTTTCACCAATAATAAATGTTCCATTTTCGAGACAATGATTGTCCAAAAAAACTCGATTTTTCTTAGTCCTCTATAAAATGCAAATATTTATTGCAAATTTATTATCTCGAAAA